AAACTTTAGAAAACAGCCTTGTTCAAAAAAAACAAAAAAACTTAGAAAGCAGCCGAATACATCCACCTCCTTAACGAATACTTGGGCATATTTACCTAGAGTTACGCTGAGATGCTTGGGCTAGACCCTGAAATCGCCATCTAGTGGCTTAATATCATTCCTTTGTGCGGCTGTGCCCGTAGTTTAGGGAGGTTTTGGAGACCCCATGGAAGGGGAATCTTCTAAGAATCTATTACCAATATATCTCATTTATCAAATTTATTTATCGATCTATTGTCATTTTCAACTTAGTTATCAAACTATCGTTGTTTTAAAAGCAAATTTGACAAATTCGACTTCATAGAGAAAACGAATTTGACAAATCCGACTTCATTTGAGAAGCGAATTTGACAAATCTGACTTCATTTGGAAAGCGGATTTAACAAATCCAACTTCAATTAAAAAGCGGATTTGATAAATTCGACTTCATAGGAAAAACGGACATACCAAATCCGTCTTTATATGAAAAGTGGACATACTAAATCCGCATTTATATGGAAAGCAAATTTACCAAGGTGCAAGCCTTTATATGTATAATTGTGTTGATCGCCAAAAGAGTATTTGACTATTTATTGAATACGTTTGGTCTCTCTGATTCTATATTCTTTGTGAATAAATTACTCACATTTATTAGTCGTCAAAAATTCACTAATAGATTCTATCTAAATTTATTAGTTATAACCCGTGTCTGAAGGCACAATAAAATATAAAATTCAATCATCCAAAAAATCGATCCCACTATATTAAATTTTTTCAAAATATATTAATTACAAAATAGTCAAATATTAAATAATTAAATATATAATAAAAATGAGTAATTTATTTTTTAGGGAGAAAATATATAAAGTCAAGAATTTCGGATGGTATCCCAATAAGAAAATTAGATGAAATATTAAAAGTTACTAGTTGAGACAAAAAACGGATTTGGTATGTCTGATTTTTAAATGAAGTCAGATTTGGTATGTTCACTTTCCCTATAAAGTCGGATTTGTCAAATCCGTTTTTCAAATGAAGTCGGATTTGTCAAATCTGCTTTCTCCATGAAATCGTATTTGTCAAATTTACTATTGGTAATAGATTCAATCTTCCAATTATGCCTATAACAACTTGGTGGCACACTCTTCTTGTAGCTGTAGTACCAACCATTAAAGATTATAACTCATCACCTCACAAACAGGTGCGGGGCCAGGTTTCTAGTTGAAGGGGGCCAAAACACGAACAAAAAAGAATTTATCGCTTCACATTAAAGGAAAACAAAACTTAGGTTCATTCGTAAATTTTGAGAAAGTAAGAGGGAAAATGCATCAAATAAGGTAGAGTTATGCCTTTAAATACCACTTATAATGTTCATGTAACGAAGTGCATGGGATATTATTCACCAAAACATTTACGTATACAATCTTCTTTCAAGATATGGAATAGTAAAATAGGTAAATGAACCAACAACCTTACTAACCTCATCATCTTCCTGTCTCCCAAAACTTCTTGACTATTGGACGATTAAACCTTTGATTGTCACGAATAAACTCATCCGCTAATTGGGGTTCTTTCACCAACCAGTCCTCGAGCCCTGAGTTCATGGCAAATTCAAACCTTGTTTTCTCATTTAAAGCCAACCAAGCCTAAAGAAGGCCTAACCTTATCTGCTAATCCTTGAACATCTAATCAGATGAGAACTTACTAACATCCAGATCAGGTTGTCAACTTGCCAACTGATCTACCACTAAATACGAATACAATTATATAATATGCTTGCTCTTAAAAAAAACATTAGTGAAAGTGGCATGGACTCCAGTCATGTGTCATCTTAAATACTCGAATTAATACACACTCTTAGCCATCAAGTGAGAGAAAATATTCATAAAGAAAAAATAAATAAATAATCCAATCTTGTCGTCCAGATGGTCGAGATAGCTCACAACAATTTTGGCGACGAATTACCAATTAAATTTTTTTTTTTTGGTTTAACGGTCAAGGTGTCCGGACCAGCTTACGCACACCTCGATTAATCCCCCTCTCAGTCCAATCAAAGGCAAGTTGTCAACGCTAAGACTAGTATATTCATGAGATATGTCTGGTTTCAAGAGGTTGTCAAAATTTAAACTCAAGACGTATGAATTTATAGTTTGTCCCTATTATCACTTAAACTACATCCGGGATTAATTACCAATTAATTCCATCACCAAAAGGATGCATTTAGCGAGGAAAACATATTCGCCACCAAAGCTAGCTAATTTGCTACACAATATTTCATGACCAAAACCCAACAAAAAAATTTCATATAAAGTCGCTAAATACCAAACTCATCTTTCTCTATTCTAAAATTTTTGCTACAATTAATCAATGCTTTGATGAGGAAAGATATGTCACCAAAAAATTATCCTTTTATGATGAGAAGATGGTGATGATAACATAGTTACATCACCAAAATTTTTGTATTTTTGTCTCGTGACACCGTCTATTTATAGACATTCGTAGAATGAGAATGGCACAAAAAGGATTAGCATAATTCTTGCACCACCACGATAATACGTTTAAAAAATAATTTTTTTATAGGATTTTAACATTTAGAAATAAATTAATTTTAAGTACAAATATATTAGACATTTTCCAAAATATAAATTCCCCATATTACAATATCTTTTTATGTCCACAAATCTCAAGCCACACATATTTTTGGTTGGCATGGCATGCACTAATGCCATCCATCAATAATATCAATTCAAACAAACCCAAAAGAATCACTCAACATCCAACATAATTTGCGTTGATGTTTGCATGACACAATGGAAACAAGACGCCATTTTCTCGTACTTATCAGTTTACCACGCAAGCTAATGACTCCGTACGATGATCGAATTTTACCTTACAAAAAAGACAAGATCCTTAAATTAGATAAAAAAAATATGTGACCCATTTAGTGTCATTTTCTTCTAAGAAGCCTAAAGGACTGGGCCCACCTTGCCGACTGAAAATACGACCCCATACATTATATACAGATACAATTATTATGTTTGTTTGGATCTTTTATTGAAGAAAATTCATCCTGAAATTAGACCCCTTATCTTGGAAAATGACAATACGTCCCATGTACCCCATCTCTGTGGCCCGACAATCTATCTTCCTAGTACCCTTCTTAGAATTTCCATGGAGAGTAATTTGGGTGAAATAATTCCAGGCTTTATTCTCACTGCAGCACTCTACTTGATTTATATGATTGGTTATTGTAGTCAGGGGCAGAACTAGAAGTTTATACACAATGAGGCAAACTAAAATAATTTAATAAATTATATTATTAATTCTACTATTTCTTTCCTTAAATATTAATTTTCAACACTTTTTTATAACTATGATTTCATTAGAAGAACATTAATTGAAAGTGTATTATATATCTCACGACGTACAAAAAGAGGCAACAAAAAGGTCATACATACAAAATTTTCAATAATTCTATAAATATTGTGCAGTTATAATTGCGTCTGGTCTCCTTCGAATTTTGTGAAAATTTATAATATCTTTAATAAACAAAAGTGTGTCAAAATTACTTTTATACTCTGTGTGACATTATTAAAAATAGGGTGTATGAAATTTTCGATAACTATAAAATTATGTTAATATTGATGAATTAAACAATTTAAGTGATAATCGAAACAAACTGTAAACCTTTAGACTTTTTGAATTTAAACCTTAACAACACCTTAGAGCAAAACCATAAGAGATATACCTTAATCTCGACGTGAATAACTTGGCTTTGACCGGACTGAGAAAAGAATTAATTGAGTTACACATAAACTGATCAAAATAACCTTGCCCGTTGAACCAAAAAAAAAATATTGATGAATTTAAACCACACGGAATTAATTTAAAATTTGCCCGGATAAAAACTGGTCAATGATACTTATGCTTGCCAGCTAGTCAGTCCATAGACGAGAGGGTGATAGGTAAATGCAGAAAGAAGTGTGCAAAAATGTTGGAATATCACACAACTTCCTTCCATTGACTTGGCTGCTAGTAGCACCTTTCGTCATCTTCTTGCTTGCCACAAGCAACTTGTCTTTCATAATTGGGGCTAATGATGGATGGTGAATTTCTTACCACCGACTTAGTCCCATGAAATTGAACCCTTTCACGCCATCAACCGAGCTGGCTGAAGGCGAATCCCCAAACAAGTCCTCCAATAATTATTAAAATCTCTCTCTATGCATAGTCAACTAAGAATGTCACATCTTCTTGACTTGCCTTTTGTGCCACTTAATCTGAAAAGAACCTTTTCTGGAAGCACTTCACTTGTATGGATAACTAATACATCTCAGAATCTCGTAGGGCACCCAATTAATTACTCTCGGATACAGACAATTTTCTTATTTTTACATGCAAGTCATATCGTGGCAAAATTCACTGGTAAGATTATGCTAGTCATCAAGTCATTGCATGGCAAAATTTATGAGGACAAATGATGAATGACTAAGATTAATAATGGAAGCTTGCATATAGTTTAAGGATTATTTCTTTTTTCCATTATTTTTTTTTTCTCTTGCAGCTGTACACATGATAACATGCCCAAAAAAAATATACAGACAAACCTCTCTTTTGCATCTCACTAAAATTATATATTATCTACAGGCAAATAAATCAATCAGGCACTTTTGGTATCAACCATAATCTTTGAAAGATTCTTCATGAAAAAAAGAAATTCAATATTTTGTGAAGCCTCAAAACTGGTAAAAAAAGCCTCATGGTCGAACAAGGTGAGCAACTAATAACTGTTAAGTTAAAATTTCAAATAAAACAAAAATTGCATTAATATGTTAAAAAAAAATATCAAGGAATACATTACACAACATGCTTGAGACCCCCATCAACCACAGAGAAGAAAGTGTGACATCAAGGAGAAGGGGTCACCTGCCACATTTGAACTCCCCCTTTTGGCTGTAAATATACTGACCATCTTTGAGGAGCAGTTATGTCCCAAAGATATGTCTGTGAACAGGCTGGGCATCGAAAGTTTTAACCACTTCCATCCATGGTTTGTCTATGATCAAGACAGAATTTTTCGAAAGATGTCCAACAAATAAAACAGGATCTCTAAAAGCACAAAATTCAAAATTCTTTCTACCACTATGTTTAGTTTCTAAATCGTGGCCTTTCAACCTACGCTTTAATAATCCATTAATGGGAGGATTTCGTGACTTTCTCAACACTGAATCCTGACCATTGACCACATCGCCATCGTTATCTCCATCAACTGGCATCCCAAAGTCAATCAAGCACATTGCCCTAAAGCATAAACCATTTCAATAACATCAGCATCCACTGTCATGATAGGATTTTTGGAAAAGTAAAAATCAACAAGATGCCATCCAGAAGAACAGGTAGCGGAAAACAGGACGTGTTCCCAAAGGAGTCGAGAGGAATTAAGTTCTTTTCCATTGTGGTCACAAGGAATGTATTGTAAAAGATGGTCTCCATTGGCCAAAAATTCTAGACTAACAACTTATATTTAATCTTCAAAATAGACACACACACACACACACACACACACTGTAGGCATCAGTTACACCATAAACATCGTTCATGGGATAAACCAACCTAGGGCAATGTATGCTCACGGAGTCATGCGCACATAACCACTAGACAAACCAGACCATACAAACTGGAATCAAGATCAACTTGATTACAAGCTCATCCGACATCATTTGTAAACAAGCCAAGCCAAGCCAAGCCAACCATAATGTGCAGTATGCCCTAATCCAGCCGATTATATCTCAACTAGAACTCCTACGGGTCATCACCTCAACTTCTACAACTCTCTGTATAGAAAGTTGAACACCTTGATCCTGGCTGATCAATCTCCATTGAAGACCTCCAAAGTAACTTAAACTCGGGATAACTTCCTTGAGGAGGTTAGGACTGTTAAAGATCCAAGTAGCTCAGGTTGGGCTCGGCTGATTTTTGACTCATTCAAGCTCACTCATATTGTAAAACAAGCCAAATATGAACAATTCTTTAAGCTTGACAAGCTATTCGCTAGCCAGCTCGGTTTTTATACTTATATCAAACTCTTTTATAAATTCTTAAGAGTTAGAATGATACTCTGGTAAAATTAGCAAATAAAAAACCCATTTCAAGCAATTTAAAGCAAGTGTAGTCTCTTCCATCACATGGCTTCCACCATTGCTTGCTAACTGCCATCAGGTGGACTACCCACTTCTCTCTCTCTCCTCTCTCCCCTCTCTCCCCCCTTGCAATAATTAAAACCCTTAAGACGCAAACCCTCTGCCTCTTTCTCTCAACCTCTTTCTTCTCTTTCCTTCATAGTATTCCCCCCCCTTGTTTTCTCTTTCTCTCTCTATACAAACAAACCTTTTTGTACCCAATCATGTATCTCTCTCTTTGGTCCTTATTAGGTCATCATCTATCTCTCTCCCCCAATGCATTCTTTTTCTCTAATCCAACCCCTAGAAAAAACAAGCATGAGTCCAAAGATTTAGTACACCATAAATATTCATTACATATATCCTTCATGTTTTTGGACAAAGGGTGTAACAGAGTGCATATTCAACTGTGATGTAGAAGTTTTTGACAGTCAGATTTTAGTTTAGATTTAGATTTCTTGTGTTTTATGAGAAATTTTTCGATTGGGTATTTGGAATTTTTTTTTTTAAAGGCACATTTTTGTTTGAGCTTGGCTTGAGTTCAATTTGAGCTGAGCTTGAAGAGCCATTGAACTCAGCAGCAGAGCTCAATAATTTCTTGAGTAGGCTGAACCGAGCCTACACATAGCCAAG